AATCTTTACAGGCGGGACCAGATCACCGGGTCTTTTTCCTATGCAGCTGCTGGCTGGGTTCAAACCACCAACCTTTCAGTTAGTAGCCGAGTGCTGAACTGTTGCGCCACCAGGACTCCTGGGGCTTTGATACGCGTTGCCAAATGGTTCTCGAAAAGGCAGATGCCCTTTTCTGGTCACCCCTGGGTTGTGAGGTTACCATTCCGGAGCCCTGTGGCCGCACCTCTTCTGTCTCTTTGCTGGCTCTCTCAGCTAACCCCCAACCAACGCTGCAGCTTGACTGGGCTCCCCCAGCTCTGCCCATTAGCCAGAAGGCCTCGTGTGGTGAAGTCACCATCTCTCCTGACCCACAGCCCTGGTGGCCCCCTGCTTCCTTGAGGCCTGGCTCCCAGGCAGCCTACCTGCCCCACCCCCCACCCAGGAGCATGTGATGGGGACAGTTCAGGTGACCCAGAGCTAAGCCCTGCCATTGGTTGCCACTGCCAGTGATAGCGGCCATTGTTGAGCAGTTCTTACCAGTCCCTCTCAGTTGTTCCCCCTTAAAATGTGGAAGGCCTTAACCGCCCCCATCCTTTTCTCCCTGTATGAGAGACTTCTTGCCTGAAGTCTGAGCAGCTTTTATGCCAGTCTTCTCCGAAATTTAAATTTGGAAACTTTTCAGGTATTGTAAGTTTTGTTTTTCTAATAATTAAAGTAACATTCTCAAATGTAAAAAAAGTCATACAGAAATAAGAAACGAATCAAGCAACATATTTCCCAGTTCCCTCCCTAGGCCCACTCCCCAGAGCCAGAGCTCTGTCAGTGGGGCTGAGTGTGCACTGTGGACAGACGGAACCCTGTGTCGCTGATGAGGGCACTGAGGCTCCCCAAATGGGAAGACTTGCACACATTCGGTCGCCAGTGGGAACTGGGGAGCTGGACGTGGAGCCCAGGATGCAGGAGTCTGAAGCCCGCGCAGCTCTGTGCACCTCCACCACCTGTACCTGACCCTCAGTCCTGCGTCCCCATGTCTTCGGCTCCATAACCCAGTGTCCTTCAGTGGTTCCCCAGCAGGAAATGTCCCTTATACACACTCATGCACCCCCCTGCCGCTGCCCCCTGGGGAGGCCCTGCAGCCTGTCAGCATGGCCCGTCCTGTGTGGGGGACCCTCACTTACCAAGTTCACAATGTCTGTGTACACCAGCTGTAGGTGGCCTGTCAGCACGGCCCGTCCTGCCTGGGGGACCCTCACTCACCAAGTTCACAGTGTCTATGCAAGCTGGCTGTGGGCAGCTGTGGATGCCCACTAGGGAGGAGAAGGCACATATCGTTTATGGAGCCGCTGCCAAGTGCCTGAGCTGAGCTGGTACTTAAACGTTGTCTCCTTTAGTGTGACAACAGCTCTGTAAGGGAAGATGTCTGTCCCTGGGTTACAGACCAGGCCGCTGAGTCTCCAGAGTCCTAGTCAGGACAAGGGGCACATAGACAATCCAGGCACGCAAAGAACTGGGCACGTGCACAGCTCAGCGACGGCAAGAGAGCAAAGTGGGGCAGGGGCGCGGGGACAGAGAATCAGGTGGGCAGCACTGCTGCGTGCTGGGAGGTAGCAGAGCCAAGCCCCCACCTCACGGAACAGTGCTGTGCCGGATGGATGGCTGCGATGGTGGGGAGGAGGGAGCGGCTCCAAGACTCGGGCCACCCCATCTCTGCGTCTCTGCTCTGCCGGTCTGTAGGGCTGCAACCCAGAGGGCGTCTGGGAGATGGCTGGTCTTAAGATCGCAAAACCAAAAAACCCCAACCCACTACCGTCAAGTCAATTCCAACTCATAGTGACCCTATAGGACAGAGCAGAACTGTCCCATAGGATTTTTGTGTGTGTGTGTGTGTGTGTGTGTGTGTGTGTGTGTGTGTGTGGCGATTTTTTTTCTTATTTTTGTTTAGGTGAAAGTTCACATCTCAAATTAATTTCTCATATAAAAATTTATACACATATTGTTACATGACGTTAGTTGCAATCCCTACAATGTGACAGCACACTCCCCCTTTCCACCCAGGATTCCCTGTATCCATTCAACCAGTTCCTGTCCCTTCCTGCCTTCTCATCCTGCCTCCAGACAGGAGCCGCCCATTTGGCTTTGCGTATCTGATTGAACTAAGAAGCACACTCCTCACGTGTATTACTTTTTGTTTTATAGTCCAGTCTAATCTTTGTCTGAAGAGTGGTCTTCGGGAATGGTTTCAGTTCTGGGTTAACAGAGCATCTGGGGGCCGTAGTTTTGAGGGTTCCTCCAATCTCTGTCAGATCATTACGTCTGGTCTTTTTACATGAATTTGAGCTCTGCTCCACACTTTTCTCCCACTCCATCCAGGACTCTGTTGTGTTCCCTGTCAGGGCGGTGATTGGTGGTAGCCGGGCACCATCTATTTCCCATAAGGTTTTCAAGGCTGTGATCTTTATGGAAGCAGACTGCCCATCTTACCCTGGTGGATTGGCCGCCTTGAGGTCTGGTTCCCACTGGCTTCAAATCTTGGCCTCACTACCTGTTTGGTATGTGTGTGACCTTGGAAACCTTCTGGACTTTGGACCCTCTTGTAAACAATGGGGAGAGTGATCCCAAACTCACAGGATTGTTTGAGAGTTAAACGTCACCTTCTCAGAGAAGTCTCCCCTGTACGTTGTTGTTGCTGGGTGCCGTCGAGTCCGTTCCGACTCATAGCAACCCTATGTACAACAGAAGGAAACACTGCCCTGTCCTGCGTCTTCCTCACAATCCTTGCTATGCTCGAGCCCATTGTTGCAGCCACTGTGTCAATCCATCTTGTTGAGGATTGACATCTTTTTTTCACTGACCCTCTACTTTACCAAGCACAATGTCCTTCTCCAGGGAGTCGTCCCTCCTGATAACACGTCCAAAGTATGTGAGGCGAAGTCTGGCCATCTTCATTTCTAAGGAGCTTTTTGGCTGAACTTCTTCCAAGACAGATTTGTTTGTTCTTCTGGCAGCCCATGGTATATTCAGTATTCTTGGCCAATACCATAATTCAAATGCATTAATTCTTCTTCCCTGGTTACCCTATCTAAAAGTAGTTTTCTATTGCCCCTGCAATAAATGACCACCAATTTAAAACAAAAAACAAACAGACTCGTTGCCATCGAGTCAATTCTGACTCATAGCAACCCTATAAGACAGAGTAGAACTGCCCCATAGGGTTTCCAAGGAGCAGTTGGTGGATTCAAACTGCTAATCATTTGGTTGGAAGCCTGAGCTCTTAACCACTGCGCCACCAGGGCTCCAACCACCAATTTAGTGGCTTAAAAAACACAACATATATTATCTTACAGTTCTCCAGGTTAGAAGTCCGACAGGTCTCACTGGTCTGAGAGCTAGGTGTCGACAGGGCTGTGTTCCTTCTGAAGGCTCAGGGGAGAATCTCTCTCTGTCTTTTCCAGCCTCTAGAAGCCATCTGCATTCCTTGTGGCTCCTTCCGCCTCCACCTTCAAAGCCAGCAACTTGCATCTCTCTGTGCCTTTCTTCCGTGGTCACATCTCCCTCTGACGCTTCTTCTGCCTCCTTCTTCTGCTTTTAAGGACCCTTGAGATTACATTGAGCTTTGGTGGCACAGTTGTTAGGAGCTCAGCTACTAACCAAAAGGTTGGCAGTTCGAATTCTCCAGCCCCTCTTTGGAAACCGTATGGGGCAGTTCTACTCTGTTTGGTTTTTGAGGTTACGTTGGACCCACCTGGATAATCCAGGCTTCTCTCCCTGTTTTAAAGTCTGCTGGTTAGCAGCCTTAATTATGTCTGCAATCTTAATTCTCGCTTGCCGTGTGTCTTAGTTCCCTTGGGTTTCCGTAACAAATAACCACAAACTGGGTGACTTAAAACAACAGAAATTTATTCTCACAGTCCTGGAGGCTAGAAGTCTGAAATCAGGGTGTCTGCAGGGCCACGCTGTCTCCAAAGGTTCTAGGTGAGAAACCTTCCTGGCTTCTTCCAGCTTCTGGTGGTTCCTGGCAACCCTTGGCCTTACTTGGTTTGTGCTACGTGACTCTTCTTTCTGCCCCTCCTCCCCCCGCTCCATCTTCACACGTGTTCTCCCCAAATGTGTGTCTGTGTCCACATCGCCCTCCCTTTATAAGGGCACCAGTCATTACAGTAAAACCAAAAAAACCAAACCCGTTGCTGTCAAGTCGATTCCGACTCATAGCTACCCTATAGGATAGAGTAGAACTGGCCCATAGAGTTTCCAAGAAGTGCCTGGTGGATTCGAACTGCCGACCTTTTCATTAAGCAGCCATAGCACTTAACCACTACGCCACCAGGGCTTCCAGTCATTACATTAGGCCCACCCTAATCCAGTACAACTTCATTTTAACGTGATTACATCAGCAAAAACCCTATTTCCAAATCAGGTGCATTCACAGTTTCCAGGTGGACATGGAATTTGGCAGGGACAGTATTCAAACCAGTACACCATGTAATCTAACATATTCACAGAAGGCTCTGGGCATTAGGGCGTGGACATCCTTAAAAAAAAAAGCATTGCTGTGGAGTCGATTCCGATTCATAGCAACCTTAAGGACAGAGTAGAACTGCCCCGTAGGGTTTCCAAGGAGCAGCTGGTGGATTCGAACTGCCAACCTTTTGGTTAGCAGTCGAACTCTTAACCACTGCACCACCAGGGCCCCACTGCGGACATCCTTAGGGGGCCGTTATTCTTCCCTGGTCACCCTATATAAAATTCCAGTACTCTCCCAAATTCCCATCCCCCTTCCCTGCTTTGTCTTCTCCTTAGCATTGATTTCTCGTTCTTATTACCCCCTCTACCCTGAGAACGTGAGCTCCGTGAGGCAGGGATTTTTGCTGTTGGTTACTTGCTCTGCCCCCACCCCACCCCACCCTGTGCTCAGGACCCTGCCTGCCTGGCGTCTGTTACTGGCCAGTAGGGGGCATCTCCCTCTCCCTCCTGTGACTCCTAACCTGTTCGCAGCCGTGACAAGATTGCACGTTGTGTTCTAGGGAGTTGATGTCGGCCTTCGTCCGCCAGCCTCAGACCCCCCACACCCCGGAGATCCTGGACCTGAACCTTCCCAAGGTGAAGGCGTCGGCTCCCGCCCCTCGGTTCTCCTGGTGCGGCCCCCAGCAGGCCAGCCGCCCCGCCTCCGCGGGGCCCTCTGCCCGGGGCCTGCAGAGTAAGTCAGCCGGCCTGCCCAGGTGCCACCCGCAGGGATGGGCCTCTGCTTCCACATTCGGCCCCTGTGTGTGTCCACCAGGTGGACAGGAAAAGGCCCAGTGCCTTCTCCAGGGACCATGGCCCTAATGGTTCACTCATCTTCCAGCTTACTAAGTGGCCAGTGGCCTCCGCTCATATGGGAGCTGGCTGAGTGAAGCCCTCCAGGCAGTGCCACTCAGAGATACAGCACTCCCGCCCACACTGAGGGGGTTGCAGAGTCTGCTCTGGCCTGTCCCCATGCACTGTCATCGGCCCAACACGTGGCCCCAACCCTGACAGCTTCCTCCCTACCAGCCAGGTGGATGCCCTTCACAGGTGGGGTGGGCCCACGGGCACATGGGGCTCCCTCCCGCCTTGTGTGCGGGCTGTAAGGACCACTGTTCCCTCTTGCTCTGTCCCCTCCCAGCCTCAGGCAGTCGTGCTCCCCCCACTCCCCACCCCCCAGCCTGGACCTTTCTGAAGGGCTTTGCTAAAAATAAGAGAAAACCACAGAGAAACAGAACAAAAGAATGTTGAGCAGCACACAGCAAGTCACACTCAGGATATGCGCATTTCTGTGATGTAGCCTCCCTGCCCCCCTCCCTTCCTGACTGGGCCCTGGACCCATGGGCAGCTGGGGAGCTGCTGGGCTGGAAGTGTGGTTCATGGCACTCCTGTCCCACCCCACAGCCGGGCAAGCTGCTTCCTCACAGAGGCCCAGAGGAAGCGCTGGTGAGCCCTGGGGCAGCTTGGCCCCCTCTGCCCTGTGTCCAGGCTGCACAGGGTCAGGGAGCTTTTGCTGGTGCTAATGGCGGTAACGACACCCCAGGAGCCGGGGGCTGCCGGCCACACAGCAAAGCACAGCATGGCCCAGGCTGGCCTGGGTCACTGGCTCAGAGAGTGGGGGATTTATGTGTCCTGAGCTCTTGCCAGCAACATTCACCGAGTGACCCACACCACGCATCCTGCTTCCTGTGAGGAAGGCCCTGGCCACGGCACAGGTGACCTGGGTGTGGGGAGATCTCTTTATTCAGTTAGCACATGAGCGGGGTGAAAGAAGGGATTGTATGGGACAGAGGGGCTCTGTACGAGACCTGGCATCCCACTCTCGAATTTCTTCTCCAGGCAGCCAGGCCCTCAGGAAGTGAAGAGAGCTTCTTTCTGCGGGTGTCACCATCACGTTGCCTGAGGACCAGCCAGCTTCCCAGCCTCGGCCTCAGCCAGCGGAAGCTGCAGGTGGCAGATGAGAAGAGAGAGCGTTGTGAAGAGACCAGGCAGCCTGGGCGGCGGAGGAGGGCTGCTTTCCAGACAGCCCCAAAGCAAGGCGGCCACCAGTACCCCCAGGACCCAGCCCCGTTTTCTCCTCGGGCAGAGCCACAGAAGGAGGGCTGGGAAGATGCTGTTCCTGCCCTTCCTTGGCGGAGGTTGTTAAACCAGGGACGTTCCTTATCACCCTTCACACACACAGAGGAGGAGAGCGTGGCTTTGGGTTCCAGCCCCAGGCCTCACGGGCACCCAGCCAGGTAGAAAGTGTGAAGCCAAACCAGCAAGCCTGAGCCTATCCATCTAGGGAACTTGTGAGGAGGACTGGAGCTGTGAGGAGCCTGGGGCTGTTTCCTCAGCCCGGAGAGCCAGCCTTTTCTGAGGCGGCTGACTAGGGCGGCCTCCGCAGGAACCAGCTTTTGTCTCTGGACCAACTGGGAGGAAACAAGGCATGTCGAATAAGGTAAAATCAAGAAGAGCAGATTTGTCATTTTCTTTCTCTTACAAAATCGAGTAAAGAATGTGAGGCCCTGTCTCTTCAGAGCAGCCCTGGGCTTCAGCCCAAGTGTCTTAAAGACCTCAGGAGGTCAACCAGTTGAACACCCTGTTTCCCTCCCTCAATAAAGACCACAAATCTAAATAGCACCACTGGTAAAATGGCTGATGCCCCCGAAGGAAGAGACCAGGCAAGGACTGGCTTAGGCCCCCTGCTTGCGGAGGGCGAGATCAGGGTCCCAGTCATAAAGCAGGAGGAAGGAAATTCGCCTTCAGAGCCAATAGGCAAGGGAATTCTGAACGTTCCTCAACTGCTAGTGGCAGGGTCTGATCCTCCCTGAAAGCCGAAATACAGAATAAAATTCATCATTATTCAGGTGTATTTTGGGAACACGTGTGGGTGTGTGTGTAAAGGAGAAACGGGAAGCAAGTTAAAGTTGGCTGTTGTCCCCGGCCCTTGATCTGCCCAGTGGTGAGACATCTTTGTGGTCCCCCTTGCACATAAAGCATAAGTGTTGCATCTTTCAGTGGCCTTCTGACTCTTCAGGAGAGCAGGCAGAGGAGGAAAATGGAAGAATGTTTGAGCAGGCAAGAGACCAGGTTACCCCAAGAGATGACCATAAGCTTGTTGAGAGCTGGTACCCGGGGTTAACCTCACGAGTTCTCAGCAGTAGAACTCTCATGTGTGACTGGCCTGGTGACCACGCCAGCAGGCCCAGCAGCTGCATCTTCATTTTCTGGAAATGTATGAACCCCCCTCTGTTCTTGGGGTAGAGTGCCTTGGAGGATATAGTCCCTACCCTGTTGGAACTGTTGACCCCCAGGCACCTTCTGGGCTCCTGGCTTGACTTCAAAGGTATAAAAAACATAAGTGCTCATCTGGGTTTGGGGGAGTCTTCAGTACTCTTGATATGGACAGACAGGAAAAGCAGAGAATGGATCCTCAAAATGTAATCCCCTCATGGTCAAACTGTGGAAAGCTGTAGACTGGTTGCAGAGGAGTATAATGGAAAAATCTCTCCCGTCCCCTCCCCATCCCAATAAATCCACTCCGCTACAGATTCCTCACATACCGCCAACTGGCACAGCCCTCCCCTGTCTTGGCCTGGCAGCAGCCCTGTCTCCGGAAGTCCAGTTCGGGTAAGAGCCATCCAGGTTCACCCCAAGTTTCCCCGGGTGTGGGGGTAACTGCTGTTTCTCCCTTGAGCCTTTGGATGAACTAAAGTCAGATTTTTACATTTCTGGTCATTTGAGGAAAAGGAAAGGTAGTCTTTTGGAGGAATGTCCATCTCAGGGTCAAAATATACTGCTATCACCAGGTGTGGTCTGGGTGGGTCTTCAGGAGAAGTAAATATGAGGCCTGTGCACCACTCCCTGGGAGAGTCCTCTCCAAGCACACACTCTGCATTCCAGGGGTGAAGGCCAGAAATATATCTTCTTAGACACTAACTATTTGTTCATAAGTACTCCAACCCTCTACTGGCCCCTGTGAGTGAGCTGAGGTTGGATGTGAACATAATCCAAGCAAAAAAAAGAAATACATAGCAGTAATGGTTGAACAACAGGATGAACATCGCTGATGTCACTGGATTGTACACAGAGAACGTTGAATGACAGGTTGTTACCTATACATTTACCACAGTTTTGAAAAATCAGTTTATGAAAATCAAATACACAAATAAACCAAAGCATTTTTAGACATACCATCATCTGGCTTGTAAGATTTGCCCATGAAACCTACCAAGGGCAGCCACCGAGAGGGGTCTTTGGAATTTCTGAAAAATGGCAGGCCTTTGGGATGGTTGTGACTCCTTCCGCCCCTGGAAGCTGACCCCCGCTCTCCACTTAACCACACGCCCTGTAATCTCTTCTGAGAAGTACTTGTCTGTATTTGCTTCATTGACAGGAGAGCGTAAGTGTCTGGCAACAGCTTGAATTATAACCCTTCAGTGGAGAACTTCATCAGCAGGTAGAGGCTGAGCTCCTGTCAGACATCAAGTGTCAGTAGGTTGGGAAGGAATTGGCCCAAATCAAAAGAGTTAAATATAAGAACAAATAAGATGAACACAAAAAAATGATAAACAAAACATCAGATTTCTTGATAAAGATAAGATCTAACCCTGCACTTACATGACCCTACCTTGCTTACCTAACCCTAATCCCAGCTCTGGTTCCAGTAAAACTTTATTTACAAAAACAGGTGGCTGGCCCACAGGCCATAGTTTGCCAATTTGATTTTTATTTTTTTTTAAATTTTGCGTTAAATACTATTTCTTTTGATTGCTCAGTTTTTGCGTGCTCCTTAAATTTTGTACACAAGGCAAACACCTCCTTCACTCAGCCTAGTCCTGGCCCTGGATCTAGGAGGTCCTCCTGGGCCCTCCTAGTGTGCCGGATGGCATAGGCTTGTGGCATAGGCTTATGCCTGATCACCTTCATCCCCCCGACGCTGTGGTGAGTTGTGTTAAGGAGTACATCGATTAGCTTTTGCTATAACAACCACTCCCCAAATTTAGTGGTTTAAAGTAACAATTTATCAGCATACAATTAGGTGGATTAGCAGTGGGGCTAGGCTCAGCTGGGAAAGTCTTCTGCTGGGCTTGGCTGGACTCAATTGTGCATCTGTGGTCAGAGGACAGTTGAAGGCCTTACTCGTATGGCTGTTGGCTAAGGCCCTTGGTTCTGCTCCATGAGGCCTCACCCTCCAGCAAGCTAACTTGGGCTGGTTCACATGGTAGTCTCAGGGTTCCAGTTGCAATAAGAGAGATCACGCCCCAATGCGCAAGTACTTTTCAAGTCTCTACTTGCATCATGTTTGCCGTTGTCACATTGACCAGAGCAGGTCATGTGGCCAAGACCACAGTCTGTATGGAAGGGAACTACCCAAGGATGTGGGTACAGGGAAGCTGAACAAAGCGGGTCATTTCTGCAATAGTCTATCACATGGAACGTTTTCAGGGCTTACCTAACTTCTCTGAACTAGATCTTGCAGGGTGTTTTCCACTGAAGAGTAACCTTCCATTTTAATTCCATTGAACACATACGTCCTGTGGGGCTGCTCTGTGTTGGGATGTGGAGACACAGTCCCCCTGGCCCTCAAGTTGCTATCCATCTTCCAGGGAGAATTCCTGGCCTTTGAGGAAGGCTACAGTATAGGCCAGAGCATCAGCACCAGGTTGAAAGGACAGGCTGATTTCCAGGAGCTGGTTATGGATTTTGGAGGAAGGTCCTAGAGAGACCCATCCTGAGTTGTTTCCTTAAGACTCAGTTGAAGTCTGGGAGAGAATGGAGGGGATTGGAGGAATAAGAAGTTGAGAACAGAAATGGGGGTGGGAGGGAGAGAAGAGGGGATGGTGGTGCTGGAGAGAGTCTCCAGGGAGGAGGAGGACAGGGATGCACGCTCTGGACCCTGGGAGCAGGGCACGGAGGTAGTCAACCATAATCAGAGCTGCGGAGGAGAAGATGGGCTGCCCAAGACCACTTTCAGAGAACTGTGTCCCGAGAGAGTTGGGTCAGAGGTCAGCCTGGCACCAAGAAAGGCGAAGGTGGCCAGCTGGATGCTGGACGGCATTGAGGCCAGAGGGGGACTTCCCAGAGAAGGGAAAGTGGAGCGAGTTGATAGCATGAGCTCTAAGAGGGGAGGCCAGAGCAAAAGCCATGGAGCAGGGCCCTTGAGGTTGCTGGGAGCAAGGAGTCTGCCAGGACCTCGCCTGGTACCTCGGCAGGAGGCGGTAGTGTGCTGGAGCTAGCTTGTACCAGCTCACAAGAGCTAATTGCTAAATATCCAAGAACTCTGCAAGCTGGTTTTAAACAGTCATTACCAAAACTTAAAATTACATAAACTTACAATTAAGTAAATTATATTAAAGACAAAGTCTACTCAGAAGAAATGAAGGCTAAAACAGAAACCTGTACACCAATGTTCATTGCGGCACTTTTCACAATAGCCAAAAATGGGAACAGTGAAGTGTCCATCAACAGATGAATGGATAAATCCATCAACAGATGAATGGAGAAACAGAATGTGGTATACCCATACAATGAAACACTACTCGGCCATAAAGAGAAATGAAGTCCAGATGCGTGCCACCATGTGGATGAACCTTGAGAACATCGTGCTGAGTGAGATAAGTCAGGCACAAAAGGACAAATACCGTATGATCTCATTTATATCAAATAAGCAAATACAGAGAAACCAAAAATTATTAATGGTTAGCAGGGAGGAGAGAGTGGAAAGGGGGAAGTTCTTGCTTAGGGGCCATTGAATTTATGTTAATTGTGGTAAAATGATTTGCAAAAGGATAGCAAGAATGGTTGTGCAACTTGAAGAATGTAATCACTGAATGGTACGTGTTGAAATTGTTGAGATAATGTATAATTTGTTATGTATATTTTCACCACAATTTTAAAAAAAATGATCACACATGCTCAAAACTCTTCCCTTCCTAAATATTTTACCATGTTTACTACTGTGTATGCCCTGGACGTTATTTTTGTCTATTGTGTCTCTGGTGGAAATACAATATAGTGGTGGCTACCGTGTATCTTTTCCCAACTTTGTGTTCAGTGACATCATGTTAGTGGCTTGAAATTGGCCATAGTGGGGGTATTTACACCTCGGAAACTGGGAAACAGTACAAACCAGAGCTGCCCTCCCTTCAGGAGCCAGTTGTTAAACATTTACCAGCACACACAGAAGACGTGCAAGGAGGTACAGCCTCAGAGTTACAGTGTTGGGTGGGCCAGGGACCACCACAGGGAAGGTGGACTGACCAGGGCAGCATGTGCCCCCTAGAATGGTGTCATGGATTGAGTTGTGTCCCCCGAAAATATCGTCAGCTTGGCTGGGTCGTGATTCCCAGTGTTGTATGACTGTGTAATCTGATGTGATTTCCTTATGTGTTGTAAACTCTTATCACTATGATGAGATTATATGTGATCTCCTCATGGGTTGTAAATTCTATCACCGTGATGAGGTTATACTGATGAGGTTGAGAAGATCAGTGTCTTAATGCAATCTCTTTTGAGATATAAAAGAGAGAAGCGAGCAGAGACACATGAGAACCTCACACCACCAAGAAAGCAGTGCTGGGAGCAGAGCGCGTCCTTTGGACCTGAGGTTCCTGCGCCGAGAAGCTCCCAGACCAAAGGAAGACTGACGACATGGACTTTCCTCAAGAGCCAGTGGAGAAAGCGTTCCCCTGGAGCTGATGCCCTGAATTTGGACTTGTAGCCTACTGGACTGTGAGAGAATAAACTTCTCTTTGCTAAATCCATCCACTCATGGTATTCCTGTTAGAGCATCACTAGACGACTAAGACAAGTGGCAAACCCAAAGGGCGGCCTATGAATGAGCAGACAGGCAGCTGCTCTGGAATTCCCTGCTTGCATCTCATTCTGCATATTCTCAGATCTCTGGTGTTGGCCCAAAGTGCTAGTATCATTTCACTTCAGGCCTTCACCTTACAGGAACTAGCCTGAGCCTTTCTTGCTGGGTTACATGATAACCATGGGTTACATCTGGTTAACCTGGGTGTTCCTTGGACACCTTCCTGCTTGGCACACTGCCAGCGTTCAGACTGCCACTATGGACGAGGAACACATCACCTGCTTATGTGAGGGTGGAGCTGCTTCTGGGTGCCAGTCCTCAGTGGTGGGTTCCCACTCTCTAGGAGGGAGGAGGGCACACTAGATGTAGAGATGGACCCCTGGGACATTGTGTTCTGGTTCCAAACCAGCGTGGAGCAAGGAGCACTGGCCTGGGCTGAACAGGAGATGCATGGAGGACACCCTTCTCAGACCCGCAGGCCCTCCATTGAGGCCAAGGGCAGCCTTGAACTTCTAGGGAGAAACGAGGCAGTGACGCCCGATGACTTACAGGGGCAGGCTGGAGACCCTGGGTTGACAGACACTGAACTGCCTGCGCCAAAGGCAGAAGAACAGGCCAGCATGAGGTTGAGAACACCATCACCACCCCAGACCAAATGCCAGCTTTAGGGGCCCTGTTAGGGGAACAGTGTGTTTAAAGGGCCTGTCCAGCTTCAGGGGAAGCC